TTTGAAATTTCTTATTTATCTTGTACAAATGCTGCAATCAGATCTTTACTACAGAAAGAACATCTCTTGCCTGTGAATTACATGGATTCCTTTTACATATTCTGATAGACAGATTTTAATTACTGATTAAATGGTAAGATGATATTGTTGTTGTTGTTATCATTATTACTATTATTATATAAGCCTAGGCAGTTATAACATCAAGATAAAATGTTGGCTACAAAATAGCAACAAGTTTATGAAGATATGCAATCTGTTGCCTGATTATAAATTCTTGATGATAACAAGGTCCCTTTTGATTCAAGTTCATCAACGCTGGAAGGCACTTCTCAGATGAGCTGGTAATTGAAACTGTAAAAATTAACAGGAGTAAGAGGACTCGGGAGTTTGTGTGGCAGGATAAGGATAATGTCAAGAATAAGTCAACAGTCATGAGCAGAAAACTCTGGAATTTCAGTGAATGACTCAGCAGAACCAAATTCAGAGGCAAGGGCCAAAAGTTTCCCCCAAAAGGTTGTATTAAAGTAACAAATCAATTAGTACAATGCACTAATCAACTAGTGTAAAACTAATATTATAAATCAATGTTCTACCCTAGAGTGGATTCTTATTCTTCAGAATTGAGAAACTGTGTTTTCAGGAGGACTGAGTTTTTTGTTGATCATCTTATAGAAATGAAATCTATTTAAAAGTACTTCTTAGGGTAAAAACATTTTATGTTCCACGTTTAAAAAAAAAAAGACAAACTAAACTAATATAATTAACTTATTGATATAATTATTTCAATGATCCTCAAAAGGAAAACAATGTTGATGTATCTGCTCATTTAAATAATTTAAATTGCCTAAAATATATATTTAATATGTATTTTAGAAAACAATATTTAACAAAAACATTCTGAAAAATGAACAGGGAATTGTACATTAAAAATGGTTGATACCAGCCAGCAAATTTTATAATAATCAACAATTTATATTAAACTCATGAATAAAAAAAATCTCAAAATCTATTATTACTTAGAGGTTTAAGATATTGCTTGCATAGAACATAGGATTGGTCATAAATATGACATAGTTCCCCATTTTTGGCATAATGAAAATATTTTATATAGTAAAAGCGTTCTAAACAACATTCAATATATTTTACCCACTGTAGTTCAGCCTAGGAAAAGTAATATATGTTATCAATAATGCTGGTATTTTTAGGAGCTAGTTTGTTTGGTGTGTCAATCAATTTCTATAGTAATTGATTTATTCGAGATCTTTTAGAAATTATTGTTGATTGATCTAATGATAATTTGTTAAGAATTAATCTAATTGATTCCATGATATATAATTGAAAGATCTGCAGGCTTTAAGAGCTTTACTTCTTTTCCTCTTCTATTATTTTAACTTCAAATAAATGGTTAGAAATATAAAATTTACTAGTAAGTTATTATTAAAGTGATTTTTTTGGTCTAGTGATGATTCTGAGTTATAATCTTATATATAGTAACCATTTCTTAGGCCAATAACATCTTCTGGTTACTCAAAACTAAAGAATTTAAGAAAAATAATGGCATTTTAATTCACATAAGCTCAGTGGTCTTAGAGCTGAAGATATTTACAGTTGTGTATAAAGTAGGAGAAAGATTTAGTAGAAGGGGAAAATGCTTTGTGGGGCAGTCTGCACACTGATACACCCTTTTGACAACATCAAAATGTAGCAAAAGCCATAAAGATGTTCAACTTCTAACCCATGATTTCACTCTTGAGAAAAAATCGAATACATGAGTTGTTGAACATATGAAGCTATTCCCAGCAGCATTCAATAATATACCATATAATGGAAATACCATTCCAGTGGACAACCCCAGGGGAAGGAGTGACTAATACAATAACAACATCTGAAATAAAATTTAAGATACAATAACCTTAAAAATAACAATGACCAAGTAGCAACATGGAAATGTTAATGATGTAATATTAATGACTTCCATGATGTAATGATAATGATGTAAAATATATATTCATGTACACAAGAACCAAGCAGTCATACAAAAATGAAAATAGCTATTGTTAGATTTTATTAATTTTTAATCTTATTGCTACACCACCTTTTAAAGTGAAATGCAACAGGAGTTTCTTATTAATCATACCATTTATTTTCTAAATTCGAGTAGACAGTGCTACTAAATCCATTTGTAACACTAAAAAGAAGGCTTTTGTGGGTTTTACCCAAGTTAGGTGCCCTGGCATATCATTACCCCTTTGGTGGTTCACAGAATACTTCAAGGTACCTTCCAAAGGTGTCTAAAAAATTAGAAAATGAGTTATAAAAGTAGAAGTAACCATTGGAAGGGTTACTTTTGTGTGTGTACCTGTGCATCTGGGCTGTTACCCCATTACTGATTTCCTCAACATTTCCTTAACATTCTTAGAATGTAGAACATGTGATATAAATCATTATAGTACATCTCTTAATCCCAATCAGTAGGCTGATTAAATGAATCAGATAAGAAAAATATTAGAGATTCAAAGGCTGAGGTTTCCAAAAAGGAATTAAGGTAAAATTGAAGTAAATTGGGTAGGAAGTAAAACTGAAATAAATTAAAACAGACAGACAGGCAGACAGACAAAACTCTCACAAAGGTGGCAAACTCAGAGGCTACAGTAGAGGCCAGAAGGTAACAGAAAAGGTAGAGCAGGCTATGTCGGTCATAGGGAGTGATGTGACCAAGTGCCAGGCTTTCCCTGTCTAACGACAGCAGCTACTGCTGAGCTCCAACAGGTTGTTGACATGCATGAATGCAGACCAAGGGCTGCCAGATATCCAGAATCATTCAAAAGAGGCCAGAAATAACAGGTGTTCATATGAAATCCCTGAGTTTCTAACTGCTGACAACCAACTTGAATTTGTTTTAATTTTTGGTTCCCTGTAATAGACAAATAATAGCTGCCCTTGGGCTTATTTTCTTTCATGGGCTTCCTGTTGGCCATCTCTAACTTATACTGAGCATGCAAGGGTTTTGCAAAAGGATGATCTTTATTTGCCAGAGTCACATTTTCTTTATTTGCCATAAATCATGCTTTTGATTTAGGCCTTTTCATAGGAAAGATTTTTTTAAAAAAACAGAAATGTTAAAGTAAATTGTGAGCATATTGGTAAGCATAAATTAAGGGCTTACAAATGACAAGAACCTTATACTAATACCTAAATGTTCCTGAGGAGCAAAGCCTTCATGGAGTTCACTTTAATTTTCTGTATAATAACTGAGGAGACATTCTGAGTCACTACAAAAGGAATTGGTTCAAAAGCCATAACATAAACATGGCTCTGGGGTGAAATTACATTAAACGTGGTAAGAGCCAAACTCAAAATCTGACCCAGATGGAATCGCCACGAACGACCAAACTGCAGAGAGGATTCAGGTGTGTGCCCTGCTGTGCACATCTGGCTAATCTCCCTTTCCCTCTCCCATTCCTTCCAGCTCTCATTTCCATCCTTGGCTGCTGGAAGGAAGTCCCTAGAGTTGTCTCAGGAACAATGTCTGGCTGTGGTCAAGGAGGAGACAGGAAGCTAAGTGCAGAGGAATCTTTACTTCAGTGCTGGGAATTCACACATCCTCAAAGTCCCTCAGAGTTAGGCTCTGTGGATGGGGGAGCGCGTTGAGCGGCTGGAAGGAAGGGGAGAGTCGTCTATTCAACTAGACATTTGCATCACATGCACCCAAGGAAAAAATGTTTACCTGGTGGAGCCACGGTTAACCTTTTTTCCTTGCTGAGCCGGTGCCCTTGGATGAATTCACTCATGGAAGGGGGGCCCTTCAGAAGAAATGATTCTGTGGAGGTGGGATCAGGGGGAACTCTTAATAAATTCTGTAGGTAGGAAGCCCCTGAAGTCCTGGGACGGCTCTGATCACAAAGGGAAGGTGAAAATTGTCTTGCAGGAGATCCAAGAAAAATACATATAGGAAACAAAAAAGTTTTACTTTAATTACCTTTCAACGCCTCACCAGTGACAACATTATTTATATTGGCATTTAATTGTTTTAATATGTAAATCAAGATTTTTTATTTTTTGCTAATTGTTTTAGTTTCCACACCAGGATACAACCCTATTTGGAAACTGTTTTGGATAAACTGGAAAAGAGATTTATTACAGTTAGTAAGTTTGAACCTCAAATAGAAAATATATGTATTATTTGATTCTTAAACAAAAGCTAAAAATAGAAAGTTTTACTATATTAACAGACAACACCAGGTATGTAACTCAATAACCAGGACTTGGGGGGAAAACATCATGAAATCAGGCCACCCAAAACCTTACAAGTGGTTTCTCAGTGAAATATTCACATGCCAACTGAAAGAGCACAAAAACTTGCTTTTAAAGGAAAGGAGTATATGTATTCCATTCCGTTTTTACCTAAATACAGGCATGCCCTTTCAGTCATCAGTTTGGGTCATATGGACAAAAGTTCCCTTAAGAGAACATATTCATATCCTTGCCCCGTTAAAGAGAAGCTGGTAAATAGCACCATTTCCAGAGGTACAATGACTTATAATCCAAGTAGAACACAGCTTCATTCTCATTATCCACCTTTACCAATTTTCCAGTTGGAGGTAAGGGAGAGGCATATATGCATACAAAGAGCAGCAAAAATATGAACAGACACTTTGAAAATTATTTTATGGTCAAAGCGGTGGGGATGGGGGCAGAAAGGAATATAGTAGCACGATTATCACAAGGTTTTGATCTGGGAAGACCAATATTTGCAAAGCCCATCTATAGCAGCTCCCATTTTTCCTTCTCCTTCCCCTCCTCCAGCCACCACAACAAGAGCACATTAATTTTTGCAGTTAACTAAAATCTGGCCACTGCACCATACTATGAAGATCGCTGCATGCATACCTTTTCCTCTGAGTGCCACTGCTGACCCGAATGGTGGGTGTCTGTGGGCCCTGACTATGCAGGAGGTAAGTGTCTATGGTGGGCACGGTGACTGATGCCTCCCCACTTACTTTAGGGCTGCCGATCTTGCTCTTTCCAAGTTTGCCTTTGCTGCGACGGGACTGCTCATGGTCAAACTCTAAGTCCTCCAGCCGCTGGGTCAGGGCGAGTTTTTGCTGGATAGCCATTCGTAACAAAGTGTTTAGAGTCTTCTTCTCATCCTCTGCGGCTGCTAACTGTCTCTGCATCTCATCCAACTGTGTGACATATTCATCACATCTGGAACCCAAACAGAAAGGTGGTGAGGGGGACATCTTGGGGAAACTGAAGTGCAACTCAAATTGGAAAGTACAATACTCCTCCCTTAATCGTAATTTCATTTCCCCACAGTTTCAGTTACCTGAGATCATCTGTGGTCCCAAAATTTTATTTGTCTTGACTCAAAAGATTTTTCTTTTCTTATTTTTATTTGTGGCACTGGGGATTGGACCCAGGGGCACTTTACCACCAAACTACATCCCCAATCTTTTTTCATTTTTTATTTTGAGACGGGGTCTCACTAAATTGCTGAGGCTGACCTCAAACTTGAGATCCTCTTGCCCCAGCCTCCAGAGTCACTATATGTATAGGCAAGTACCACTACACCTGGCTCAAAATTTCATTCTCAAGATTTTATTACTCTATACTGTTATAATTGTTATATTATTTATTATTGTTAATCTTTTGCTGTGCCTATTTTATAACTTAAACTTTATCACAGGTACATTTTATATATATAGTAACCATTTCTAAGGCCAATAACATCTTCTGGTTATCCCGCCCTCCCTTTAGTTATGTATAGGAAAAAAAACAGGGCACATAACTTTTTATTATTGTTATAATCATTCTATTTTATTATTGTTAATTATCATTGTGCCTAATTTATAATTTAAACCTTGTAACAGGTATAGGAAAAAACCACTACATAGGGTTTTGTATGATCAGTAGTTTTGGGGGGGTCTTGGACTATATCTCTCATGGATAAGAGAAAAACTACTGAAATGAATTTGACTAGAATTTAGATATATAGAATCCTGGTCTTCCTATCAACAGAATGGAGATAACCTATAGTAATAGGAAATAATAGAGCATGTTCACTAACCCACACAATAGGGTACATATGGGAGCACTCTGAATAGGCATCATGAACCCCAAGGACAGAGTTTTTTTGGGGGCTGCATTTTGGTCGTATTGTACAGTCTCACATTTCCAAAATACCTTAGATGTGTTACAATGGCTCTTTCTGCTGTATAACATTTGTCTTCTTTGCAGGAACATGACAAGTTTGTTATGGGTTATGTCTGTGGCATCCGAAAAAATAATAATGTTAGTGAAGGAACTATTTGCTTCTTTATCTCTATTTATAGGTTTTATTTTAATTTAGTACAGATCACAGCTGGCACTGTTTTCAATATGGGTGATTTCTCTGAATTAGGAAATGGTGTTTTCAATGATTTCTCTACCAGATGAGAGTGCAGAGAGTTGTCAAAGAAAACCTGCACAAGGTTTGATGGAGGTAGAGCCAGTTGTCAGGAGCATCTTCATTCAGCTTCATGCTTGCACTAAGCATGAAGGTAAGCTCAGTGATTTATTTCCCCACCAAATGCGAAACCTGAGCCCATCCATATGCATTTGGAAGAAAGAGGCAGTGTGGGGAAAAAAAAACTTATTCTGAGATTCTGCTCTTTACTTACCCATTAAGATATTAATAACAATTCCTCTGCATGCACCAGCAGATGGTTAAGGACCATCTTGGAGTTATCCAAGACGCATTATACAAACTTTGAAATTAGCACAAGCCTGGGGTATTTTAAAGAAGAAAACAGGCTCTGTGGTAAAATACTTGAAATCAAGGGGGTGCCATTCTCTTTATCATTGAATGTCAGGAATCAGCGGGGACATGTAGATCATAAGAAAAATCAGATTTTAGTAAAATACCAAGCAAATTTCAGGACCTGGATTAATCTTCACTGCTAGATAACAACATTTTAAACATATAGCATTAGGCAGTTACTGTATCTGAAAAAATAAATGACTGTGAAAATGAATTAATGAGGGATACAGGCCATTCACTCATATATGGAGACTTCAAATGACCTTTTAAAATGTTTTCAATTTCTTTCCCAAAGAACAAATTTATGTTCTCTTGATTCTAAACATAAACTTGATTTCTTGCATTGGAGAGGGGACCATTCCCATTCTCTATCCTATCCCTCATAGTGGTCAGAGGTATACATCTTCTACTTTCCAAATACCACTGTGCTCTGGGCCCCAGAAGCCAGTTCCTCTCCACCCCTGTGGTCCCTCAGGTCCCTTCTGACTGTCATTTCCCAGAGATTCAATCACATATGACCTTGAGCCTTTTCTTTCCCAAATTACAAAGCAAGCTGCACAGATCCTGGGGACTCCTATAAAGCCCAAGACATTTTTTAAAAATTACATCAGCTACATGTAAATCATTTTATGAGTACGCAAATAAAGTCAAAGTTATGCTTTGTGAATTTTGCACCAAATTTGTATCAGAGAAGATATATATAGTTGGTGCTTTTTGTTGAGGGAGGGGACTGCTTTGTGACAACAAAAAAGGTATTTCAACAGTATATTGAGGATCTCCAGATTTTTAAAACCCTCAAATCATTACATGTAATAATAATCATTATTGTAGTACTGAGGATGGAACCCAGGCCCTTGGGCATGATAGGCAAGTGCCCTACCCCAGAGCCACATCCCAGCCTAGTACATTATTTTTTTCCCCACGTTTTAAAAATAGTTGGACATTATAGTTGGACATAATGGTGGGACTTCATGTTACAGATTGGTCTATGCATACGATATAACAATATAATTTGGACAATATCACTCCTAAGTATTTCCCTTCCCTAGTCCCTTTCCTCTAGTCTACTCATCTCCCTTCTGTTTTTTTTTTTTTTTAATATTTATTTTTTAGTTTTGGGTAGACATAATAACTTTATTTTTTTCACAATTAAATTATTTTTTATTTATATGAAATGTCCAGAAGAAGCAAATCTACAGTGTCAGAGAAGAGATGATGGTTACACCACTAGGAAGAATGGGGAGTGAATGCTAATAGATATGGGGTTTCTTTTTGGGGTAATAAAAGTGTTTGAAAATGGTCTCTGGCGATGATTGTACATCTCTGTGTGTGGGAGGCCGCCACGCCATGTGACCAGCATTTTCCTCTCCTGATTGGTAAGGCTCTGCTGGTCACTTTCAGTGATCTGGCCACATCAAAGTGGCTATAGATGGTGGCCCCGATCTTGAGAGTCATAAAAAATGTAACCTTTCTTTTTCCTTTTTCCTCTCTAGCTTCCACATATGAGAGAAAACACACAACCCTTCACTCTTTGAGTTTCCAGAATATTCTTAATTAATTATTTCAAATTTTTTTTAAAAAGCATTTCCTCATAATAAAACTGGTGTGTGTGTGTGGTGGGGGAGATAGAAAGTAATATTTGTATAATTAGTTGGGCAATGTGAAAAAGTCAGTGATATACACAATTACGTTTTAGAAATAATATAAATACAATTTAATTCACAGTGTATTAAAGTGTAAGTATTAGCTGATTTGATGAATACTAGTCTTCATTATGACAGTATCAGGAAGCACCTTAATGTACTTTTATGTACTTTAGTCATAAGAATATATTTTAGTAATGATAATATTTAGCTATTTTAAGAAGTATTTTTTTCCCTTATGGGAAACTTAAAAAAAAATCTAATATATGGGATTGGGCTGTAGCTTAATGGTAGAGTCTTTGCCTAGCATGTGTGAAGCCCTGGGTTCTTTTCCCAGTATTCCCCATCTCTGCCCAATACCTAATTCTTTTGAGCATATAAGGTATAGAAAAAGGTTATTAAATTAATTTTTTGTTTATTTGATTTTGAGACAGTGTCTGGCTGTGTTATCCAAATTGGTCTTGAGCTGCTGGGCTCAAGTGATCCTCCTGCCTCGGCCTTCCAAATGGCTGGAAAAAATATTTATGTAATAGAATTGTTTGATCCATTGTGTCCAGTAGAGGACTCTGGAAGTGAGCCTTATATTTGTCAGAGCGGAATCTCTGTCCTAGACCACAATCCAATACGCTCAAGATGCACAGAGACTCACTTGTGAGTGCTCTAGTCTTTCTGGCGTGGACCACAATTTTAGGAAGAAAACCAGTTACCTTGTTGCAAACATTGCTCTCAGGGATGAGAAAGTGGCTGCATCTTCTTTCAAAGCCTTCAGTTCATTCCTCAGTTTCGTCATCGTTTCTGTCACCATTGCTTTTTCATTCTCATATTTGTTCTTCAGATTAGCTAGGGCCACCTCAGCTGTCTGAAGCAGAAAAACCACAATGCTCACCCTGTTCATATCAGGAACATCTGTCATACACAGTTATTCATGCTGGGTCTATTATTTCTCTCATAAATGGAAAGTGAAATTGACTTGGTTAGATTTCACATAAGCATATGTATATACGTTGGACATAGCAAAGATTTTCTTTAGTGTCAAAATGAGTTGTGAGAGGGCTGGGGACGGAGCTCAGGGGTAGAATGCTTGAGACACACACACACACACACACACACACACACACACACGAGGCTCTGGGTTCAGTCCCCAGTACTGCCCAAATAAACAAACAAAACCCCACATAAACCAAAACAACAACAAGAAAAAGCAAAACAAAACCAAAAACCTGGTGTGAATTGATAATGTGGTTTAACTGCCTTAGAAGCCAACCATAGGCCAGTCAGTATCAAGAGCTAAAAAATTGGCTGTAGTCCAATAAATACTTCATGTATATTGTTGAAGGTGTAGGAATTTCAGACATGGAGGGAGCCAAAATGAAACCTTACATAAGAAGGATTTTATTAAGGAGTTAGTAAAGGAGCGAAGTTTCCAACTGAAATACGTTAGGACTCACTTTTGTGTTCTCTGTGTTCCCTGTGGGCTTAAAACACAGAATAAAAGACCATTGTAATTTATAACATGAGTATATGATAAACTGTAAGCCAATGTTCTTATGTTTAAGGAAAAGAAATAACGAAGAACCAGTGGGTTATAGTTAAATTATTCATAATCTCCAAGAAAGCAGAAACTCCAAAATGTAGAAGTTGTTAAAATATTTGTTTGGGTTTGGGATTATCTGAAGTTTCTAGAATTAGTAGTGTTTCAAACCAAGAGCTAGCCTGGCACAGTAGAAAGTAAAAACACAATAACTGAATCCAGTGCATAAAATCAGTGAATATTTAGGGACATGCACAGCTCATGGCATTGGGAAGTCAAATGGAAGCATGGCACATGGCACATGGCATGCATTTTGAAGTCAAACTGGAAACGCACTATTTTTACAGACTCTAAACTGCAACTTTTCAGAGTATGAAAAAATATCAATACTACTGGAAACCCCATTACTAATGGGATTTCCCAGGGAGACTACCATTATATTTCTGTGCTTGAAATGCACAGTTTCAACTTTCTTACGCAAAGTGTCAACTTCGATAGAAATGGATGAATTCATTTTTAATTAAACTATATCAAGATGAGGTATTTCATTAGTATCTGATTCCAAGTTAGTTTCTTATTGGTTTTGACTCTGTATTTAAATTCAGATTTAAATGACAAGTTACGCAAATAACAGTTCTGTATGTTCTGTAAAGCTAATGTTCAATGGAATCTTCAGAAATATTATAAATTCAGAAAACTATCCAGAATAAATTGGCCTGGGGAAAAATGTCAGTTTTTTTTTTTTTTTCCCCTCTCTCACTCTTTTTAAGGTAGTAAGGATCAAATCCAGGACTCACACGTGCTAGGTAAGTATTCTAACACTGAGCTACATCTCTAAGTAATTGTTTGGTTTTTCAAAAAGTTTACACACATATTCATTTAAAACAGATGATTAAATTTAAGTCATGCGAATGTAGGTGTAAGGAATTTGTAAGCACATGGAGTCACATAGTCAGTTTCTAAGGGGAGAAAAAAAGGGGGATGACAGGCCGCTGGATCTGAAATAGAAGTAAGAACTCATTTATTATTTGTAAGAAATGCCCCCAAAGACTGTTTTATTTGCAGATTTGTTTGTCCACAGACTATGTAAAACTTTTTCAGAATTAATTTAAACCATCAAACCCCATTAGTAGATTTGTTGATATCTACATTCACTTTCTTCTCATACTTCAAAGTTAACTTTGTAAAAAAAAAAAATACTTATTCTCATTCACAGAGACCATCACAAACATTCCCTCAATACATTATCCTGTTTTGTCACTTGTCCCACTGTACCTAATGTTCGTTTGTCTGGAATTATTTCCTCTTCCCCTGGGAAAACAATTTCTTATCCTTTAAGAACAAAAGAAAAAAAAAAAACTCAAGAATTGTTCTGTGAAGTCTTTTCCAACTCCTCTAAGAAACATTGTTGACTTCCTCTGCCATGTTCCCATAACTTAGATTACAGCACATGTAACATCAAACTATAATTATCTGTTGTATTCTGCCATTCCCAGGGGGCTGTGAGTCCTCTTCTGGCAAGCAGAAACCATATATTAGTCTTATTTGAATGTTCACATCTAACACAGTCTAGTACATAAATGATGCTTCATAACTAAATTATTGCGTCAGAAGACACCGTGCCTCTGAAAAAAAAATCTTAAAGTATAATAAAAGATTCATAGATAGGCTGGGATGTAGGTTGGTGGTAGGGCACTTGCCTAGCATGTGCAAGGCCCTGGATTTGATTCCCAGCACCCCTAAAGAAAAAAAAATTTTCACTGAGAATACAGAATGCCTACCTCAAAATAAGATGATTTCCTTTTTCCCCTAAACCACAGAATTCTCACCTTAGTCTCAATAATTAACATTTCACAATGTCTAAATATGATGATGTTATCTGTTGATACTTGAAGCTATTTATGCGCATAAGCATCATGGTAATAGGCCCACTGTTGTTTTAATGGGCTAGAAATGTGTTTTCATTGGATTTACTGAGCCTACACAGGCTGTGACTCTGATGTAATGCAAATGGTACCACACAGCACTGTGAAAATCAAATTCAGCTAGGCATGCTTTGTTCTTCTCTAATTTCTATGGCACTGTTTATACCACTATAAAGTGTTCCACATGTTCTGGCCTGTAGTTACAGGCATGTGTTCAATTTGTACTAGATTATTAGTCATTTATTTTTGCATCCTTACTTACTATCTCCCATAACTTATATGTAAAGTCAATAAATGCTGGCTCAAAAATTAGTTCTCTCTTGGCTTATCAACCAACCTTATTGTTTCAGTCAAATCTCTTGACATTTTCATTGGCCTAGTTTTCTAGGTTGGTTAATATTCAAACTTTATGTAATAAATCAGAGAAGTTATCTGAAGGACTCAACCAAGAATGACCTCAGGATATTGTGCTCAGGGTAAAGAGTGTGTACATCTTGTCTAGTGTGATTTTGAACCATGAATTAATACCCATCTAAACCTAAGTTTCAGATATATGGTCACTGATGGAGCTAGAGTTCATTCTCTCTCTCTCTCTCCATTGTTCTTTTTATTTTTATTTTATTTATAATTTTTGCAGTGCTGGGAATTGAACCCAGGGCCCCATGCATGGTAGGCCAGCACCCTAACACTGAGCTACATCCCCAGTTCCTCCCTCCCCTCTCCCCCACCGCTACTGCCATTTCCTTCTGTATCGTTTGCTTGTTAATGTGGGCTCCAAACTATCTGTTGCTAAAATATGCCTGCTGCTGTCTTGTTCTTTATCCCTGAGTCCATGACTTGATCATTTATCTAATACTCTTGTTTCTCAAAGCCTAGGATTAAAGACAAGACACCCATTTTCCATCTTGCTACATGCCCTTGAGGAATCTCTGTCTCTGAAGTTGAGGTCAGGTTGATGGCTCTCAGACCTCCTTTATACCTGCCTGCACCCAGACTCCCTTACGACCTGGCTGCCCACCAGGTGTCTCTGGTTGTCGTAAACTGCCATGCCGGCCTCTTCTGTCACTATCTATGTCCTGCTTCCACACTCACAGGACTGCTGTCGTGTATCTGCAGCTGGGTCTTCCCTTCTATTGTCATTTTACCTTCCTCATCTCTTCCTCCACTAGCTGGGCACAACTACTCTCTATTTCATCCATTCACTCACTTAAAAATAACATCACACTCTGACCTGGCACTAGGATGCACTTTGTCTTATTGCTCCATTGACCAGTAATCTGAATCCTTGTCTTGATGGTCCTGGAAACTCAACAACATTCGGGAGGAAATTGGTAAAGAAGGTTTTCAACTAGCATGCTTTCACCAGTGGAAGGAGATTACCTGTTTGTTGGCTTTCAACACTGCCCTCAGCGTGGCGATCTGTTCCCGTTTGGTGCTCAGCAGGGACTTGAGCTTGAGGATCTCTTCCATTAAGGCTTCCTTGTCCTTATCAATCATGGGGGCCAACTCCCGAGCCGCTGCTCTCTGACGAGACAGTTGCAAGGACCGGTCCACTGCTTTCTGCAGATGCTTGATTTGGTCCCGGATTATGGCGTTAAGGTTGTAGATGTTCATTGGCTCTTTGCGGATATCACTTGTATCCAATACCGGAGATGATGGTGGGGCAGTAATAACAGGAGAGATGGTTGGGGTCTTAGTTGGACTTGGTTCTTTGCTGGCCTCTGTGTTTTCTTTTGAAACGGGTTCAGATGAGGTCCTTGTTTCTACTGGGGACGACACACCCCGTCTGGCCAATCGTGGAGACAAAAGTCCTCTGGGATCATCAGGCCCTTTCAGGCTGCCACTGCGGGTAACTCTGCTTTGCCTGTAGTAGTCCAGCATGACCCTGTTGGGAGTTTCATTATTACACAGACAGACATGGTGGTAAAGCTGGGCTAGCTCCTCACTAAACGTCACTAGCTCATCCTGCGCTGTATTAAGGGTATTGTGATTTTCGTTGGCTATGCTGGTCATCTTTTGCAACTCCTTCTCCATGTGGGCCATCTTCTCGCCACTCTCCTTGGTGTTCTTCTCAAGGCTTGTCACCTGCTCATCATACATTTGGATCTTACTCTCATACTTGGCCTTCTCTTCTGTATAGTTTTCTACAGATTTATTATATTTCTCCTTTAAGGCCTTAATTTCTGCTTTCAAGTCAATCACCTCGGTTACTGCCACTCTGTATTTGCATTCGAGGATCTCTAAGCCGTTGATGTCCACCTCATAGTCATGGGCCTCCTCCCCTGAGTCCCGGCCCTTCTCCCCATCCAGCTCAGACTTGAGCTCCTTGCTGCTCTGCAAGCCCCTCATGGCGTTGACGTGCTCTGTGAGCCGGTGCACCCGCTCATGCTGCTCCGTCAGCGCCCCCTTGGTGTGTTCCAGCTGTGTCTGTGACTCCTGGAGATTAGCCAGAAGAATGGCCTTTTCACGCTCTACCTGCAATGAAAAAGAAAGTCTCTGAGTGCCTTCAATGCAGTACCACGGAGGAGCTTAGTCCATTCACAGTGGGGCCTGTGCATATTTAAAATAACTGCAGCACAGTCAATGTTCCCGTTATTTCAAAGTAAATTGGAACATCTTTTCTTATTCAGCAGTTCTGGGAAGTCAACCCAAAAGTACATAATTCATAATATGGTATTGATAAAAGTCAAGCCATTTGAATTTTTCATAAAGGAGATAGAAAATCTTCCGAATATTCTATTATGGGCATTATGTACAATCCCAGTGAAAATGGATTTCAGGAGTGTTTTGTTCTTTTTTCCCTTGAAAATCAAATAGGTTTCCTTGGAAAAGTCTAAACATTATTTGAGTAGTGTACATGATTATAGATAAAACCATTTCCCAAAATCTCTCAATAGAACAAAACCTTTTATAAAATAAAAATTGATCAAAACACAATGTACTGAATGCCAGGTGCAGTGGTGCATGCCTGTAATCCCAGCAGCTCAGGAGACCAAGACAGGAGGATTTTGAGTTCAAAGCCAGTCTCAACAAAAAGCGAGGCACTAAGCAACTCAGTGAGACCCTATCTCTAAATAAAATACAAAATAGGGATGGGGATGTGACTCAGCAGTTCAAGTGCCCCTGAATTCAATCCCTGGTACCCTCCACCCCCAAAATTACTGAATGTGCCTCAAATTTATTTTGAGACAAAGTATTATGATAAATGAGGTAATGGGTTTGAAATGGTTCTCAAGCTATGCTCTGCTAGTTCATATTTAACATATATATGTTCTAAGTCTAAAAGGATAAGTCTACCATTCTCTTTATGATAGCACCTTCAGAAAACATCACATAGAACATAGTTTCATGTGGAGATGTTCCATATACAGTATTGCTTTCCACACCCAATTTATTTCTGATGAAATCAACTGAATAGAGAGCAGAAGCCTTGGCTTTTTTTTTTTCTAGTGCTACAGGGGATTGAACCCAAGGTCTCGTATGTTAAACACACCCCAAATGCCCCCTTTAAATTTTTTTTTATAGTTGTATTTGGACAGAATGCCTTTATTTTATTTATTTTTATGTAGTGTTAAGGATTAAACCCAGTGCCTCATGCATGCTAGGCAAGCACTCTACCACTAAGCTATAGCACCAGCCTCCCAAGCCCTTTTTGTATTTTGAGACAGAATCTCACTAAATTGCCCAGGCTGGCCTCAAACTTGTGATCCTTCTGCCTCAGTCTCCTGAATAACTGGGATTATAGGCATGCACTACCACACCTGTTGTGGTATAAATTTTATACGAATATGAATACATATGTGTATGTGTATATTGAATAGGGAGTGGTATACACATACACACAACTTCACAGGCAGTGATACTCAAAATTTACAATACATGTATATATATATACACACATATCTGCATATATATATATGTATATATATATATATATACATATATATATACTACATATATATTGTATACCTATATATCTACACACACACACACACACACACACACACACACATTCCACTCTTTTGCTCCAGATAATTCAAGTGGATCTGACCAAAACATGATTACTGAATTATCACAGATAATTTTTATAGAACTCTAGCATTATGTTTTCCTTCAGTTATTAAGAACTGTAGTACCTTAATGTATTTGGATTTCAAAGAGAGCAGGCACTTAAACTATTTAAGATTCACTGTGCTTAGAATTAATAAATGTAAAACTGTAAAACACTTGAAAGCTTTAAAATGATTCTACATTTTGGGGGTCATTATTTTAATCTCCATTTGTGAAGAATTTATCCAAGAGAGATTTGCTGAGTTAATTGTAATCTATCACTAAAAGAGTCACCTTATTTTTTTCCTATCATCTTCCTCTTTTATATCCCCCTGTCCGTCCCCCCCACCCCACCCCCGTCCCTGCCGCACACCAGGGGAGTGCTCTATCACCGAATTACTTCCCTAGTTCTTTCTTTCTTTCTTTTTAATTTTGAGACAGGGCCTTGCTATGTTGCTGAGACTGGCCTCTAACTTGGGGATCCAGTCTCAGGCTCCCAAGTTGCTGGGATTGCCCTGCTTGCCTTTTAAATAAACATATTTACATGTATTGTGGACCAATAGAGGTTTTGTGAAAGACCAAGAAAAGATAATCACAATTAACATTAGGACTTCTATAGGAAAAGAAATCAAAGCTATTCTTAAACTATCAACTTCCATGAATTTCATTTTTTAACAATTTAAAAGGATGAGTTTTCTTGTGTGTGAATTTTAACTCAGTACATAATTCAATTTTTTTTTAATATTTATTTTTTAGTTTTCGGCGGACACAACATCTTTGTTTGTATGTGGTGCTGAGGATCCGGGCCGCACGCGTGCCAGGCGAGCGCCCTACTGCTTGAGCCACATCTCCAGCCCCATAATTCTATTTTTAAAATTAAAAATAATAATTGTATATATTTTGGGGGACATTGTGATACTATGATACATTTATGCATTGGAGGATGATTAAATCAGGCTAAATATAAATCATCTCACGTAGTTATCCTTTCTTTGTAGTAAAATATTTAAAACCTTCTCAACTCATTCTGAGACACTAGTATTACTCAGATACCCAAACCAGACAAATATATTACAGGAACTGAAAAATACATGCTGATTATCAATTAGGAATACAGAACAAAATACTAGCAAACTGAATCCAGTAACATAAAAAGGATTAGATAGCACAACGAAGTGGGATTTTTCCTAGGGATGTAATGTTGATTTAACATTCAAGAATCAATAAGAAAAATACACTGTTTTGGGCTGGGTTTGTAGCTCAGTGGTTGAGTGCTTGCCTCGCATGTGTGAGGCACTGGGTTCGATCGTTAGCACCACATACAAAAATAAATAAATAAAACAAACATATTAAAAAAATACACTGTTTTAATAGAATATAAAACAACATGATCCCTCAATACATGCAGGAAAAGCATCTGAGAAAATTCAATGTGCGTTCTAGGAAAAAAAAAAGTCACCAATGTAGGAATAAAAGGAAATTTCCTTACACTGATTGAAGGCATCTATGAAACAACCATAGATAACATCACACTTCTGTAATTCAGCTTTCCATCGCTGTTGACAAAATATGTGAGAAAATTAACTTGGAGGAGGAAATATTTATTGTGGCTCATGATTTCAGATGTTTCAGCCCCTGGTTGGCAAGCTCCATTGTTATGGGCCTGTGGTAAGGCAGAACATCATGGTAGAGAGGGCGTGGCGGACCAGAGCTGCTTACCTCATGGCAGCAAGAAAGCAAAGGCACAAGATATATATACCCTTCCAGGGTACACCTCCAGTGACCTACTTCCTCTAACTAGGCCCCACCCCCTACAGTTTCCATCATCTCCTAATAGTCTATTCAATTATGAACCAGTCAATGGACTACTGTTTTTGTTGTTGTTGTTTTGGGCACTGGGGATTGAACCCAAGGGCACTTAACCACTGAGCCACATCCCCAGTCCTTTCCACTTTGGTAAAAAGTTGCTAAGTTGCTTAGGGCTCCCTAAACTGCACTGGCTGGCTTTGAACTCACAATCCTCCTGCCTCAGCCTCCCAAGCCACTAGGATTACAGGTGTGCACCCCCGTGCCTGGCTGGACTACTCTATTGATGAGATCAGGGGCCTCATGATTCCAGTCACTTCCCTAAAGCCTCATCTTTGGACATTGATGTATTGGGGACTAGGCTGGGGACATTCCAGATGCAACTATAATGAAACAATGGTGAAAAAGACTGAACCCTTTCCTGCTAAGATCAGAAACAAGACATGACTGATTGATTCGACATAGTATGAAAGTTCTTGCCAGGGAATGTAGGAAAGAAAATGAAATAAAAAGCATTTAGATTGGAAAGGAAAAAGCATGATTGTCTTTATTTGCAGAAGATATTGTCACAAGCTGTCCATGGCTTGTGTGTGGACTGTGTTGCGCATCATAGCTTAGTGAGGGGATAAGTCTGGCATTGGGAACTTTCTATGGCACCCCTACAGGGACCGACTGCCCAATGCAGGTGAACTCTCCTCTCACCCAAGCTCTGCCAAGATCTCACACAGCACCTGAGCTGCATGTGACCTGCCAAGATGTCAATCCACCTGCTGACTACAAGAAATCACTAAGCAAGACTCTGCCCTTGAAACCTTATCCCTGCCTTTGATGTACCCCTTAAATAAACCACCAGAGCCATCTTTCCTTTGTCTAATTCCAGCACCTATGTGGACTAGATCTATCAGGGGCTCTGCTTTATGTAAATATATTTCTGATTATTTGTGTTTTGTTCTTCACTAATTAATTTAGACTTTAAGTTTCCAGGTGGCTTACACCCTCCTTAAAGGAAGAGGAAGCCCACAATGAGACGCTGGCCATCTCCCCTGTTATGATATGATCTTGTATATAGAAGTTCTTAAGAAATCCACTTTTTTAATATTTATATTTTAGTTATAGGTGAACACAATACCTTTGTTTTATTTTTATGTGGTGCTGAGGATTGAACCCAGTGGGCCTCACGCATGCTAGGTGACCGCTCAACCTCTGAGCCACAACCCCAGCTTCAAGAAATCCACTTTTTAAAAAACTATTGGAACAAATAAACAAGTATAATAAGTTTGCAGGATAAAAGATCAGTGTACAAACCTCTATTATATTTCTACATGCTAGCAATGAAAAAAATCAAACTTTAAATTAATAAAATAATTGCATTCACAACACTATGAAAAATAATAAAATATTTAGGTAAAGTTTAATAAAAGAATGCTAAATGTATACTCTGAAAACCATAAAGCATTGTTGAAGGAAATTAAAGAGATCCTAGCCAGGGATGGTAATATATGTCTGTAATTCCAGTAACAACGGTAGGGGGGCAGACTGCAAGTTCAAAGCCAGCCTCAGCAATTTAGTGAGGCCCTAAGTAAGTTGGTCTCAAGATGAAAAATAAAAAGGGCTGTGGA